GGAGGCCAGCTCTGCTCAGCCCCTTCCTCCCCGCTCTCACCCCCAGCAGTGCTCGGCTCTCCCGCAGCAATCCCGCTACTGCCATTCCATGGGAAGGCGCAACACCGCTCCGAGGCATCACCTGCACGATGCCACAGGCGCACGCACTGTGAGGACGGAGGAGAATGGGCAAAGACAGGCCCTGAAGATCCAGCAGCCAGGGCAGTTTTCAAGACCCTGAAAAGTGTTTTTCCAGTTACAAGGAATTAAATGTTTAACAATCCCTGCTCTCAGCTCATCTGATCTGGTGCTTTCACTGGCAACCATCCCTCACCAAGACCCCCCTTCTCCCCCAACCCGGCTGGCCTCACCTGAGGGGGATGCGGATCGCAATGATTCGGTCAATGGCGATAGCGAGGAGGCTGAAGATTGAACTCTGCGTCAGGACCAGGACGAAGCAGGCAATGAAAAGGCAGCCGTAGAAGAAGGCACAGAAGCCAGTGCTGATGGTGATGGCGAAGGGGATGGCCAGCACACCCACTGCAATGTCAGCAGCGGCCAGCGACACCACGAAGTAGTTGGTGACGTTCTGCAGGTTGCTATTCAAATAGACCGCCCAGCAGACCAGGATGTTGCCCAAGATGGCCAGCACGGCAATGACCAGTTCCAAGACGATGTAAGCTACGTCTGAGAGGAAGTCTTCCTTCCCATGTACTAGCATGGTGAGAGTGACCAGGCCAAAGCGAGAACGTGCCAGAAAAGCTCAGCGTTCATATCTGCAGAGCACTGAACAGCCAAGACACCTCAAAGCTGCCTGGGGTCCGAGGAGCGCTCACGTGGCGGCCAGCTTGCAAGGGTGCTTCACAAACACTCTTTTCTCCCCATGGCAGTTCAGGAGCTTTACAGCAACAGGTGTAAAGAGAAAAAACTTGGCTTGCCAGCTCCAGCAAAGTGGATTAACCAGGTGCAGAAGGATTCACCGAACTCCAGCAGACAGGGTCCCCGAAGAGTAGCTCACGCAGACAGATGCTGCTCCCCAGGCCTCTGAGTCCAGCAGACAGCACGGCACAGTGAGTGCACCGTATGGCACCATCGCACAGGCTCTCAGCTTTGGTTTCCTGTTGACAATCACGCTGCTAGTCATGGTTTCCTGTCATTTACATACCTACCAGCAACATCCTGTGGTTCTCTTTTTCCCCTTTTCCCCCCAGGAGTTAGGAAATAGTCTCTTCAGCTGAAGCAAGCGTTCAACTTCTTCACTTGCTACTTCCTTTAAAAAAAAAACAAAAAACAAAAACCATACACACTAAGTAATCAGCTCCACGGAGATGGAAAAAAGCAAAATCTCATTAAAGTGGCATATTAAATTGATAACGGATATTAAACAGACCTAGAAGAATACATCACAGGCAAAAAATCTCACATTTTGTCTATGCAGAAAGCTGCAGAGACGAAGCAAGGCTGGGAAGGCAGCATTTCACAGTGGCCATGAGAAACAAGGGATGTTTTGTTGTGGAGGCTACCCAGCGAGCTGGCACTTCAGCAGCTGCTCAGTAGTTGGCCCTGAAACACGAGAGCCCCACTAATAACTGGGCCTTGGCGAGCGCTGGGCTTGGCCGGGGGAAAGATGCAGGAGCCTTTTCGCATACACCCATCTGCCTCCCATCACCAGGACTCGAGCCACCACGTGCTTGCCACCCTCGTGCAGGCACGTCAGTGTGCAGGAGCCACGCTCGTGACACCAATGTTCATTCACAAGGGGTCCATGGCGCTGGCACATGTCCCCTCTGTCTCCATGTGGCTTCCTTTGAGTGTGTGGACATCGAAACGTGATCAGTGGCAGGGGAAGCAGTCCGGGCTACGTCAGACAGGGACACGTTCCGGTACTTCCCTGCTGAGAACGGATATTCCCTGCAAAGGTTTGTGCAAGCTCCCGTCCCGCAACACTGTCTTTGTTACATAAACCTTCATGCTTTTAGCACTATGACTATTAACTGTTTTATTCTTCATACCTGCCTTTTACGTAGGGTTTTCTGCATCCACAGATTCCGGCAGGCTCTATAGGCAATGTCAGCATCACTTTGCAAGTACAACCACCCAGAAACACACTCACCAAGTTACCCCCTCTACATAGCCCCAAAGAAAAGCTCACAGAGACACAATAGCAAGGTCACCTCTCAACATGAACATTTACACTCCTGCATGATCATACACACAAACCTGGCACTAGACTTGGTGCTGCTTGCAAGGACATATGCTCCATACAGCCACCCTGCATACAAGCGCATATGCATCTTCTACATGCTTACATGCCTCCCCCATCTCCCCAGGTTATCTCATCTCTTTGATTTCAGATGTGGGTTCATTTTACAGAGATTCAGCCAAAACATACAGCAATAAAGAACACAGTTTCCTAGGCTTTGTGCCACGCAGTCAAGTCATAGTTGTCTGCTGTCCTACGCTGTCACTGGGTTTTACACTTTATTTAGCCAACTTTTTGCAGCAGTATTTTCTCATATATTTAAGAGAAGAGAACAGCTATTCCAAACAAACGTCAGAGAGACACAGCATTAACTAACAGATACTGAAGCTCAGCTTTGGATGTAAAATGCACCTCCAAAACAGAAGATCTGGAAGTGGTCTGCTGTGGTCTAACCGACCCCGGGGTTTCATGCCTTCACAGTTGCCTTTTTGTTTTGAAGTTGGAAACCTAATTGCTCAGGACAAAATAAAAGGGTAAAGACCGTGATAATACAAGAAAATATGATTAACTAGTGATTCACATATGATCTCAGGAATATAATCAGATTTTGGACATTTCATTGATTTAGAGCTCTATTGCTAATGCTGCATTTGAAAGGAAAGTGTGTGGTTCCTGGTGGTTTGGATGGGCTTCAAAATCTAGCTTTTCCTCTACCTTCAATAATCTTGTGTTTGCATTTTGTTTTGTTAGTGTGGGAGAAATCGACATGAGATTAGTTTTTGATCTAGTTATAAAGAGAAAGATAAAGATCATTGATTTAATCTTTTTTTTTCAAGAACAAAAAACCCCCAAGAAGTTTCTATATTGCTTATCTTCTTTTAGCAAATATCCTCTTTTCCAATGACCTGCCAAAGATTGCTTCTACTTACTTGTTTCAGTGATGTTAATGCTATGCTCCTGTATCAATTCTCCAGTGTCTGATTACCCATTTCAAGCCCTAATGGGTTTTTTTCAAAGCTGAAAACACCCCCTACTAGCCTAACTACCAGGGCGCAGATTAGAATTAGCATCAAATACAGACAAAGAAAACCAGGAGGGAGAGAAAACAGAAAGGGCAAGGTGAAAATTAAGCTACAGAGCTCTGTGCGTGCAAGAAGGGGGGGGAAAAAAATCAGGAAAAAAAGGTGGCAAGGAAAAAAAACCTGGAAGAAGAAGTGGGGTAAAACTGGTCTGTGAGAGAAAGAGCTTCTCCATCACATAGATCACACGGTTATGCCCGAAATCTCCGAGTGGGAGACAAATCTCATGTCCATTAGTATCACAGCAGCACAGTGGCCATAGAGGAGGAAGCCTCCACATTCCCCACCTCCTAACACCTCTCCCATTTCCATGCGGGTCAAGCTCATGACTCCAAGCTCAACTCCAGCTGTAGAACAAGTTTAGAAACATCTCCAAAGTTATTGGGATGTACCTGAGGCAAAGGTAATGCTATGTAAAATAAAACAATCAAAAAAAGCACAAGCTGTTCTGTGGGATGGGGACAAAAGTAAGAAAAAAAAAGCTTTCTGGAAGCAATCAAGGTCCAAACTGGTCAAGCACATCCAGACACTAAGATCATTTACTTAAAGTACTCCTGGGTTGCCCTCACACCTTCTACTTCAAAGTTACCACGGGCCAAAGTGAAATTACTGGAATTTCCCATTTCGGAGCTTCATTTAGGAGGATTACAGACCACACGAATCCCAGGTGCATTTTGTATAACCCGACTCTTTCGGGGGTCCTCTCTGCTTTCCAGGTGGAGAGGGATGAAGGAACAAACCCGTGCTGTGGAGGTCCCCCAGATATTAATCATATAGTGCAAAGACCAACCTGTAATTTCCTATGGTTCTGCATGTGTCCTGGAAAAGAACAATGCTGGAATCTCCAGCTTAATGATGACATCAAACGCTATTTTCAGACACCTTGGAGTTTTTAACCTTCTCCTTTTTGTTTGTTTCCTAGATTGATTTGACCTTTCCAATTTAGCTCTGAGTTTGTCTAGACCCTTGTTTCTCACCTGTCTTCACAAACAGTGGCCTGATTCTTCAACTCAACACCTAGCCATTAGTTTCTGAAGTAATCTGTGAGATGTCATGTCCAGAAGAGGACAACGTGTCCTCGCAGATGGGCTGGGAAGCAGTGAGAGTCCTGCAGAGCCTGCATACCTCAAAAAAGAAATGACTGGAGCTAAGTGTCCACGCCAGGACAAAACCACACTGTGTGTCCACTCCAGCACTGCTGCTTCTCTAGCAGCAACAGACCTTAGAAAAAGCAATTATTAGGTGCATAATCCCAGCATGTGAAAGGCCTCAACTTGCTACATACAAAAGGTGCCACAACCCAAGAGGTTTTCATGTTTCACCTAAACTTACCCCTCATCTCAATCGTCTCCTGCACTGTCAGCCTGTTATATATTTCATCCAGCGTGATACAGGGTCTTTGATTGTAGAAGTGTTTCCAACTTGTTCAAAAACACCAGGCCCAGTCCTTCCGCACACATGGCTGGTAATTTACTGCATTTACAGGGACAAAACAAAATGCAGACTACCTAGAGAAGACAACGCATATTCAGAGGAAATAGAGATTTATTATAGAATCATCTACTTCATGCAAGACTCAAAGGCTCAGCAACTAGGACTGACAAGACAAAATTAATTAACAACCTGTTTTACTCACTGGGAAGTGTATATTGAACACCTCAGGCCCTTGAGGGATCAATATTGCAAGCTTGTCAAAACTTAAGAAAAATATCCTGCATCACACAGCCTGCTGGACAGCTACAATTAGTATTTCTTCTCAAGCTCATGTTTTGTTTTGTTAATTGGATTAATTCTTCCTTGATACCTTGGGCTATGTTCCGGCCTTTTCCCCATTATTAAATAAACCTTTCTTGCCACTCACGAACCTGTAAAGCTGTTGGCCTGTTCGCTTTTAGTGATTTGGAACACTCTGTTCTTGCTCATATTTCAGCCCCAGTGAAAAATTGCTCCTTTAAAATTCAATAAAGCATCTGAGCAGCACGTTCCCATGAAGCAATTCACCACTGGAGACTGAGCAAGCTTTTGTTTGGGATCTCCAGTTGGCTTTTGACTAAGGTGTTGCTCCTACAGTCTACTGAGCTCCAAAAGAGCCCAGGTGAGCACCAGCCAACGTTAGGTTTAAACCACCCTCCTCAAACAAATTCATTTCCTATTCCTGTCTCCTTCAGGCTGCGTTGAGTCATCTTGGTTTGGATATCCATGCTCCATCACATGAGTAAGATGAAGACTCCCTCTTCTCTCAGCATGTGGACTGACGTATTTGAGAACATCTGTGATGTTTCAGTTGAAAATTGCTCTTGAGACACATGAGCAAAAGCCCCTAATACACGTCTGCGGACATGTAGGTACCAAACTACAGCTTGCCTGGTCTTCCCCATGAACTGTAGCTCCCTCCAGGCTCCAGAAAAGACTGGTTTCTCCTTGTTTGCTTCAGGAGGCGGGAGGTAAGGTAGGAATGCAGCAGGCAGCTCACGAGGCCAGTAGGGAAGGGGGAATGGTGGCCCTTTACCAAGATGACATCAGGGAATGAGAGTCATTCCACAGATAACAGCCTCACTTCTCCTTCTGACAACACAACCCTTCCCAGGTACCAGACACATACAGATTACCTAGTTCCCTTAGGGAAAAATCCTTGAATTCACATAGCAGCAATTTTCTGTTCATTGCTGTAAGTCACTCGTCTGCTATTTTCCCAAGCCCAGAGGGGGGAGATGCTTGTCTGCTTTTGTCCTCTTTGAAAGCTTTCCGGCTCAAAGAGAACCTCTGTATTTTTCAAATGGAAGTTCCTAAGAAGTCTTGTCTCTCACATCTTCAGAGGGCCACGGCACAACAAACAAACCAACCTGCTCACGTGCTTTACAAGAATTCACAAAACACACGTGACGAGCACCTCACGCAGAACGGCCTCCTGGGCCCCTCGCAGCTCCTCTGCCTCCCGCTGAGGGACGCAGAGAAGTGACGGGTGGGCAGGAGACAGAAGGCAGGGAGGCATCACCTGTCTCACCAAGACATACTTCTGGCTCCTCTATTAGTGTTATTATTGGTTACATTTTTAAATGATCGTTTAGGTCATCTGCTTACAGTAATAGGAGGAAATTAAATATTAATAACGGACTATTTCCCTGTAGACTGTTCTTTGTTAACAAAAGATACAAGTGAAACAAAGCAGGCAAAATTATCAATACCCCAAGCTCTTGGTTTTCAGGTAGTTGGAGCACTTGCAGTTTCCACTGGCCTTCAGTGTAGCCACGGAAGCCAAATCATTCATGTTCCTGCCCTCACTGCACTTGCACAAAGGCAGAAATCGGTCATGTCTAGGAAGCGCTGCTCTACCGAGGGGCTCCACACGGCAGCTGGACCCTCACAGGGCACCTCGCTTCAGACTTTATCCATAACATCACCTGGGTCACAGATGCGCTGCTGGAGAAAACTGCAGGCCAAGGGTCTTCCGAAGCGCAGAGCCTTCCTCCCTGCAGGGAGCCAGCTCTCCCTCCAGGGCCAAAACCTACAGCTGGGCAACGGCATCCCCGGAATGGCTCTGCCAAATCTCCAGAAACATGGAATGAAATCAGGGCTCTGGCTTTTCTAAGCGTGGTCCACTCCGCTCTTACAAGAAAAGAGCAGCCCTCCAAGACTTACAGCCTCCCTGCCACGAACTCGCACAGGCAAAGCAGGAATCTGGACTGCTCCTCATCTTTGTAAGCTCGGGCATGTGACAGATGGACAACATTTCTGCTTTACATTTCCATTTCTGCTGCAGTGCAGGTCCCCAAAGGAGTCTCTGTTCACAGTGAGAGCAAACGGTGAATTTGGGTGCAAAGTCTTTACTGATGAGGGAATTACTAGGATAACAGACACCTACACTGCTGTATCAGTTAACAGTGATAAAAAGCAATAATAATCATACTCTTCCTATTTGTCCCATATCTCTCCTCTCTTTCTGTTTATTCCCAACATAAAATCACAAATCAAAACAGTAAAAAAATCATAAATTGGATCAGACAACAAGCAAAGGTCATAACAAGAGTAGCAAACTAACAGAAATGGCTAATCTGAAACCAATACTTCAGTTTTGCCTCCTGCCCTCCAAGTGCTAGAAGTGGATTCATTTTTATTGTGGTAGCAGGCGGGGAGACCAGGACTGAACACATTTGACCTTTCTTTCCCCTTTTTGCCCCACTAGGTGTATGTTATAAATGTTTAAAATCAAGGAAGAAAACCCTCTTGGTAATGATTTCTATTTTAACGATCACAGAAAGCTAGGGAGGGCAAAACTAAGTAAGGCTGAATGACCAGCAGCTACGGAGGCCGGAGTAACAAAGAAGGGGAAGGAGAAAGATCCCGGTGCCCACTCGGCAGAGGAGGTTTGTCTGGCTCCTGGGCAGCAGCATCATGATGTGACACCAAAAGTGGCAAAATCGCGTTGGATTTTGCAACAAACCACTTGTATCCCAATTAATGACAGCAATTCTCTTGCAGGGTCATTTCCAAAAAATGAAGAAGTGGAGCATTTGAATGACTTGTGGTAACGCAGGCATGTAAAGAAGTCTAATTAAAACAAAGCAGCCTGGCCACAAAGAAGTTACCACGGCCAACAGCAACTATAACG